CTCCTGTAGTGCTGCATCAGCACCCTTGTCTCTACTCCATCAATGTCTGCTATATTCATCCCATGCCTTAACAACCATTGAAAAATCTCTGGCCTGTTGAGATAAGTTCTTTCCCTATTGCCCCTTTCCATTCTCCTATTAATCACTCTTATGCTTCTTGCATTTGTAAAACCCATGAGGGGAAGTTGTGTTAATAGACCTGACATGGCTTCTTGAATTGTTGCTTTGTTTTGCAACAGCAAAGATAAATGGGGTGCCCACGTAGAAGGGGCTCCCTTGATTACCATATCTGCCATGACCTGTGTAAGGGGCATTCTCATTGGGTGAATATCCCGATCACCATAAAGCCATTCCAGCATGGCTTGCATAAGCAGCACATCAGCTGCTTCCTCTGGAGTGTTCCAGGGGCCATTTAGAAGGGGAGAGGGGCAGTTTCCCTTCTCAGGATACACAAACCTGACTGCAAATTTTATCCATTCCAACAAACTGGCTGCCCCCTCTGGGTTAACCTGCCCTGTAAATGGATCTTGGATCAACATTTGTGCCTGTTCCATAGTGAGTTATGGGTCTTGCATCAATCCATACATACTCTTCCACTCTGCAGTATTCAAAACTAATGATGCCACCCCTAAATTAGTCACTCTCACAAGCCATTTTAGTAAAGGTTCCTTGGGAAGCTGACGATACCGATCTACAAACTGAAGCAGCTCTTTCACACTACACCCTCTGCTTTCAATAGCTTCTTGGCTTTGCCCGTTCCCTTCCTGGACTACCTTTTTGGTGACCAGTGGCCTTACCGGTACTGCCTGTTGTTCTGACACAATTTTTCCTTTCTGGGTAGTTCCTGAAACTAGAGGTCATAGCTCTAATTGGACTGGATCTGAGCTTGATTCAGTCTTACAACCCGGCTCTAAGTTCTTTTTCCCTGCCATTGCAGCTATTGCCGATAACAGCAACCAAGGAATTGTAGGTCTTGCCTTTTCCTCATCATTCTGTATTTCCATATACATACAACTAGCCAATTCCTCAGGAGTTAGATTGACCTCTCCTAAATCCCATGAATAGCTTTTGCCTTGGGTAATCAATTTTAACAAAAGAGCTGCTTCAATCCCTGGGTTTCTTTTATCCCATCCAGAAGCCAAAGGTTTCTTACTTTCCCGTTTATTTCCTTTCTCCCCAAACCACATATTCCAGTGAGTCTGGGCCGTAGCAGCGAATCCCACCATTCTGACACCAATTGCTTGAACAATTTCTCTCAGAAAGATCAGCACAAGGGCAGTCCCCATGAGGCGGAGGTTAAAGATGTCCCAAATGTCCAAACTACCGTGCCACTCCATCATTTCAGACATTAACTCCTTCTCCTCTTCCTCCCAGTAATTTCCCCAGTCTTAGGGTTCTGTATTTCGCTGTAACACCTGACAGACACCCAAAGGTTCATCTCATGTAGTAGGGGTAGAGGCTGGCAGGCTGGCGAGTCCCAGGTCCATGAGTGGGTCTGGAGGATCCTCCCAATTCTTGGGATTTGATGAACCTCGATCAGGAGATCAGATGAAGGCTGCTGTCCCAAATCCAGGGGTGAGATGAGGATGAGCCAAAACACAGAACCAGAGCAAGAGGAGGGCAAATCTTCCCAGGAGATTCGTAGGTATACCCTCAAAGAAGCTAAGGGTGGTGATTTGAATTATACTCTCCAGCAAGGCAGGACTCAAGATACATTCTACCTGTGTTGCCCCAACAGAAATAACCTAAATCCCATCAGAGTCGATTGCCAGTCATTATAGGGAACAACTACTACCAGCTGCCCAGCCAAGTTGATACCTGACCTTAACTACCACACCGCCCCAAACAGGCATGGATAATGGGATTTACAAAACATCACAGAATGGAGGACAATGGCTAGAAGGGCCACATCAAGCAATTCACTGCAGTATGGTTTGCTAATATTTTGTGTCTATGTTTTTCTACATCTATAATCATAAGGAATATTAGTCTGTAGTTTTCTTTTCTTGTGATATTCCTGTCTTGCTTTGATACCTCATATAATGAGCTAGGAAGTGTTCCTTCCTTTTCTATTATTTGGGACAGTTTGGGAGGATTGGTGTTTCCCTTACTTTTTAATAGCTAAAATATAGTAATTGGAACAGGAATGGTCAGGGTATGGGAAGCCTGTTTTTTACCCCTGGCTCTATCACTTGCTGTGTGACCTTGGGCACCACAAAACTTCTTTGAACTTCCATTTTCCAGAAAGGAATATATAGAAAATAATTGACAGTTTTGGAGCAGATGAGCTTCAGGTCCCTTTCAGTGCTACAGTGCTTTGATGTTATTTTTTTTAGAGAGTCTTCTACATATCTTTTTTGAAGTGTCAATTGTACTTTATTTGAAATGAGAGTTAACTTTCACCCTTAAGTAAAGTTAGAATTCAAGAGCTAAGGGAGGCTGAGTATATATCCTATTTGTGTCACTCTTATTTTGACCTGCTGGAAATCTCTAGATCTTTCCCCCGACCTGCCATATGCTCCAGGAGTTACTAAACCTTTACAGAGCTTTAATTTCACAATTACAATTTACCAACTCAGAAAATGAATTTAGATATCTCTAATGGTAGCATAAAATATCAATTGCTTAGGATAAGTAATATAAATGTTTCTTTTTAAATTTTCTTTGATGTTTCATACTTAATGTAAGAAAATTCTACTACTTCCCTTTAAAAAAACTTCCCATTTCTGAGTTTGTTTGGTGATATAATTCATGTTCATTGGAAAAGATCAAGATCAAACAAGAGGAAATTTTTTCCAAAATGAAAGTATGCTTTATAATTTTTTTCACTCAATAAATAGGGTCTTCGTCCATCTTCTGCTGAGCCAAATTGCAACCAAAGACGGGAGCTAAGAAGGAATGGAGAAGAGTCTAGATTCCAGGAACTGCAGCTCGGGAGAAACCTGAAGGAACAGGTTAAAAACAGTCTAATTCCGGGGTTACAATTGAACTTGTATCATTGTCTTTTGTACTTTAATGTTGTTGTTATGTGCCATCGAGTCATCTCTGACTCACAGTGACCTTATGTACAACAGAATGAAATGCTGCCCAGTCCTGTGCCAGCCTCATGATCCCTGCTATACCTGAGCCCACCACTGCAGCCACTGTGCCAGTTCATCTTGCTGAGGGCCTTTCCCTTTTTCATTGACCCTCCACTTTACCAAACATGTATTTAATAGGGTGTTAACTTTTATTTTCTACAGTGTACCTGACAGAGTCTTGTTGCACAAATACTTACTGGACACACTTAATGTGGAAAGCAGTATGTTGGATATTTGGGAGAATACAGAGATATGTATTTCAACTTCCCAGAGATTGTGACATAGCTAATTTCATGAGGCTTTTTACCTTGTATCAATAAATAACTTGGATCTATCATTAATATATTTGGAAATATATATAAAAGTGAGGTATATAAAGTAACTGTACTTCATTAAAAGGAACTCTGGTGGCATAGTGGTTAAAGCATTTGACTGCTAACCTAAAAGTTGGCAGTTTGAATCTACCAGCTGCTCTGCAAGAGAAAGGTGAGGCAGTCTGCTTCTATGCAGATTTATAGCCTTGGAAACCTTATGGGGTAGTTTTAGTCTGTCCTAAAGTGTCATTATGAGTTGCAATTGACTTGATGGCAGTGGGTTTGATTTTGGTATATGTCATCTCAATGTATTTCTGTTACATATAAAAATGACATATATAAAGCACATCATAATGTATTTGGAGTTATATATAAAAGTGAGATCACCCCAAGCCACTGTTGTCACACACAACAGAAAGTAACACAGCCAAAATGTGAGACAGATTATCAATCATCCATAAGAGTAACTAGTCTTCTTCTTATTTTATATCATGCATTTTTAAATCATAGGTCACAGAGAGATTATTTTGCTGAAGTTGTTAACAAGCATTTTAAATTTTTGAATTGGATTTGCTTTCCAGGAATATTGGAAGCAGTTAGAGGAAATACGCCAACAGTATCATAGTGATATGAAGGAGATTAGAAAGAAGATGGGGAGAGAACTGAAGGTAAACAAATTCATTCTCCTAATATAATCATTGTCTATCGATTTAGAGTTAAGAAAATTGAACAAATATAAAGATTAATAATTTTTCCTAGAAATGATATAATTTTATCATAGAGATAGTCATGCAAACTTTTTTTTAATAGGAAAGCTGTCAGACCTAATGGAAGCTTCACTGCATTATGACTTACTTGAGAGTACACAAGATGATGAGAATATCTGAGCTTCTCAGTTAGGAATGGCTAGGATTAAAAAAATACTTGTGGTTTGTCTCTTAATGAATCAGTCAGTATGTATTTACTGAGCAGCTGCTTTATGCCCAAAACTGAGTTAGATTTAAGATGCCCAAAATGAATACAATAAAAGTCTATGCCTATAAGGAGGGGGATAAAAGATTACATTTACTGAATTCCAGTTATAATTATCTTATATGTATGGGGTAACATTCTAAAGTCAGTATATAAGGCAAAATCTGAGTGCAATTGAGATGGTTCTTGGAAAACTCTTAGGAATGCACCACACTGGAAACTCATCCTTCCATCTTGCAGGAAAGTCTCTAAAGCTAGAGCAGATTGCTGTTTTTTCCCCAGTCAGGCTCCAGATGAAAGAGCTGGTCTGCATTTTGGGACCATGTTCTTTGAAAAATACATGGTTATTTTAATGCTAGAAACACCCTCAGATCTCTGGAATGCTCCCCTATGAGATATCTCACATGTAGTTGGGCTCTAAACTCCACTCATTCCACCCATACTGCTGGAATTGGTATTTCTTTTTCTTCTTCTTCCCTATGCCAAGAACATATAGATGTATTAATGTAAGTTAAATGAGCATATGGTGCAATTCAATTGTATGTGCCAGGTCCTGAATGAGGGTTTTCTCATCTTTATCTCATTTATGCCCCATAACGGAGAAGTAAGTCATTTAAAGACACGTAGCAGTCAAGTGCCTTAGGCACTATGCCACCAGAGCTCCTAAATATTATTCGTGTACCAAATATTTGAATACAATTCTATCTGACTCTGAAACTTCTACTCTTTTCAACAGATGCAGTTCTACTCATAAATTGTTAGAGAAGTAAAACACACATTTATAAAGCAGTAGTAGAAGACTGAATATAGTTAAGCTCTGTAAGTTCATAAGATATAAACATGAGAAGGATAAAAAGCAGTAATTTTATGGAAGAAGGAAGAGTAGAGTTTAGAGAGGCTTAGAGAAGGGAACAAGGAGAAGGGAATTCTAAGAGAAGAGAGTTGATGCAAAGGTTCAGAGAGGGGATGTGCTAGGGGACAGGTTGAAGGTGGTTCTTTCTCTCCAGTGTAGTCTTGGTTAATGGAGAAGCCTGGTGCCATCATCATCCTTGTATTTAGTGTAGATCTCTGGGTAATGCAAATAGTTAAGCAATTGGAAAGGTTGGTGGTTCAAATCCACCAAATGGTGCATCAGAAGGAAGTCCTGTGGATTTACTTTTGAAAGATCCCAGTCATTCAAGAACCTGTGGAGGGCAATTCTCCTTTGAAACGTGGGTTTTCCAAGAGTTGGAATTGACTCAGTGACAACTGGTTTGTTTTTTGTTTATTTATTTATTTATTTATTGTGGTGGGGACTCTAAGTCCAGCAAAGATAAACAGCAGACATTTCTAGAGAGACCGTGAAAGAAGTATTTGGGCAATATCAGGGGCAATCATAGGGAAGAGGAGCCATAAAACAGAGCTCAATCCAGCTACTTCCACTGACTTCTCCTTTGCCAGCAAGAGGAAGGCGTTTCCCCACTAGAATGAACACTAGAACACTAGAATGAGTGTAGCTTGGCCATTCAAACCCTGGCCAAAGTTCATAAAGTAGCCTTCAGAAGTGTAGAATTTGTTGACTGTGTATAATTTCTTTTAAAGGAGGACCCAAAAATAAATCATAAAACCTATTTGGTGAAGAAAAGTAACTTGCCCATCCACCCAGAAGCTCCTGAGGAAGAATCACCTGTGCAGGTAGTGATGATTATTGTTAGATGTTTATGTGTTTCCCATTGAATTTGCTCTAGCTCAGTACTTCTTAACTCTCCTTGTACAGTTAAATCATGTAGGAAACTTTTTAAAAACTCTATTGCCTAGGCTCCACCAAATTGCTCTAAGCTGGGGCCCAAGCCTCCTGTTTTCAGAAGTTCCCCAGGTAATTCCATTGTACCGCTAACTGAGAACTGCTTTTCTTTAGCTTCCTGGGGGGTATTTAAGTCAGTGTGTCAAACACATTGGTCATGAAATCCAATGATAGACTTCTCTTTCATTTCAACCTTACATTTTTGGCAGGGGAAGTAGGGACAGGCAGAGTTGAAATATCAAATGGATCTCAAGCAACTTTTTTTTTTCCTTTCTGAGAAAATATTATAGGCTCATAATGCTAAATGATTCAGTTGATTCTAGCTAATTCTGAGAAAGACTTATGCAACCTGTGAAATGACCTCATAAACAATACTCCTGTAATTGAATGGTTTACCTTTTCATTTCTTATAGTGATATTGTGAAGAAAAAAATGCCAGTATACTTTTATTTTTGTTCATTATGAAGATTCTCAATGATTTGCCAATGCTGGGGACTAATATGTAAATTAAGAATCATAATAATAGTGATTCTTTGTATTTTAAATTACATTTAGTATTGGAGTTTATGCTACAGAAGTAAAAGTTGGAAATCCTGAAGATACTGTAAAATTGTCATGCAAGGATACTAGTGGGTGTATAGTAGAGCTGACAAGGGGCAAGGTTGTGGTCACTGCTTGTTCACAGCCAGCTACCCAGAGCGACCGAGTAGTTGATCCTGCAGGCTTGGGACCATAGTCGTAGGGGACATCAAGCTCAATTGGCATAACATACTATACAAAACATTGTTCCACCTCCTACTTT